CCTTAAATGGCTTTGAAGACAGATTTTATACAGCAGGCCTCGGTGCAAACAGTGTAGCAATGATGATTTCTTAAAAGAGAGGAAAGCAAAGATAGTGAATCTCTTTCTGTAACAAGCAGAGAACGTTTACAGAGAGAATAAGAATGAGCAACAACTCTTGCAATATTCTTCTGTAACTGCAAAGTTACCACTCAAACATCCCATTTTTTCTTGAAAAGGAACTAGCACTCATAGCAGTGCAGTTAAACACTCCATAATGGGTTTCCAAAATTCACAGAGCTGCTGGCAGCTACAATTATGTCCAACAAAAAAAGCAAAATGCAAGGTAGTTTTTTTCACTCCATGCTAGATTACATCTAATTCCTACACAACAGCAAAGATTCAGAAACTTCAGAAATTAGCAAAATGAGCTTGCTAGCTGAAAGCATTAGGAAGGGCAAGTGAAGAAGGTGAAGGGTCTTGGTATTTAAAAGCCTAAATGGAAGAACTAAGGGATGGGTGAAGGGCCAGAGTGAAATGAAGACAAGAGAGAAGGGCATACAAAAAACACTGTAAAGGAGGACCTCTTTATGAATGAGAAAAAATCCAGAAGCCCATTTGTATCTCATCAGAAATATTTAACCTGTGAATTAATAGTCTGTTTGCTTCGGTTCTATAGCAGCTGCTTCATTTCTACAGCAACACGATATCAATTACGCAATAAAAGTCTCCAAAAGTCATTCATTTTCACTTATAGACTAAGAGAATGTAGATCACAGTGTCTGATGAGGATGTTTTTCCCACTACTCTTTTGCTTGAAAGAAAATGCCTGGAAAGTGAAATCCATTTTCCTAGAGCAATGATAGAAGAGTGGGTCAAATGACAAGATTCTTAAAGGTGGAGAAAATGGGTGAAACTTGGGGGCTTGATTTCTGAGAGAGTATAAAGAGTCAAAAGTGGAGGTCTGAGCTAGTTTAGGAGCAGTTCCAACTTAACACCGCAGGACAGCAGATATCCCACTCCTCTGTTGGACTCCTCCTGAAAAGCCTTTGTTAAGCAGGAATTAGATCTGTAACTAGCATCCCAGTTCAGTTAGCTTCTAGAGATGGCGAGATTTAGGTACAAAATTCTTATTTGGATGCCTACTTAAGAAAAATACCATATAGCAATATTTAACTTTGTTTTTTATCTCACACTACCATAAATCTCATTTAGCACTTTATTACAATTCCCTTATTGTAACTAAAACAAACCAAACAAATTAAATGTTCTGTTCTATCTGTTAAGATGCTCCTGAATTCTTGAAGCTGCTGTCTCATTTCCCTCAAAGACAACAGGCACGACACTGTAATTCATGTATTGCCATAACTCTGCTCTATGCTGTTCATATGCTGCCTGCAGGCATCACTTTTCTCCCTGCATAGTGAATAGGAACAGAATTGGAACACAGCACCAACAGATCTTGCTGTTTTCTGTATCTGTGCTTCCAGCTCCTCCACTCTGGTTCTTCGTTAGAGCTACTGCAGCTCTGAGAAACGAAAGACTCGCAGATGCTCTGAGCAGGGCAGCCCTCCTCGTCCCAGGATGAAGGGAAGGGTGACGGACCCCGCACGCTCTTCCTGCCACATTTCAGAGGCCGGCATCAGTCCATGGACAAGCTCAGTCCAAAGAAGCCACGGGCAGGTGGTTTTAGGAAGTCAAAAGGCAAGAGCGGATGAAGATATCTAATTCTATTAGGCTACATTCTGCATTTTATTAGTATATTGCATCGCTGTTCTGCATATCACTATGCTGCTTATAGCAAAGAAGCAAAGTTTCCTCTTACAGAGCACATCAGTGACTCCATATCCTGCTTTGCCTGCTTCTCCAGGGTGAACAAGAAGATGCTTCCACTTCCAGGCTGCCGCTTGGGAGAGAGGGAAGCGTCCCCCACAAACTGAGCAGTGCGTGGGCATCAGGCACTCGAGAAACACTCACTTTCTGTACATCCTCACAGATAAATGTATCATCCTCTATTCAAAGTCTCCAAGGAAACAAGAAGATAAGAAGACATCAGAAATGTAAATTTAAAAGAGTAAAACAAACCAAAACATTCTGCTGTTTATTTTGTTGCAAATTTACATATACATTCACACTACTATTAAGCTGGAATTATAGTCCATGAGCTTACGATTTTATTCACATATTTACAATAGTAGTTACTTGTATTGCCAAGATCAAGTCTCTATCATGCTAATAACTGCTTATTCACAAAGCAGTTTGTATTCTAAAAACCTTATCTCAGTAGCCAACACAAAGAAAAATAAGCATCATCACCATGTTGACTGAACTGAAAGAGAAGAGGGAAAAAAAAGAATCCTTAAAGTCACAGAGGAAATCTGTATCAGAATTAGGAACTGAATACACTTCTCAATATTTAGCTAGTTCATGGCATGCAGTAAATGCAGCATGAACTGCACCCACTGCAGGCCCTCAGTTTCAAAATGGCTCCCCCAGAAGTACACAGTGTACTTGTGATTTTATTGTTTTCTATCTGTGATAAGAGCTTGCTTCATTTTCAGCACCAGTGTCTCGCTTCACCCTTTCTTCAGGTAGAAAGCTACGTGGATATTTTATTAGGTTAAAAAAAAAAAAGAAAACAACAAAAAGAGACTTGGACATGGAGGAACAGAGAGCGGAGCCTAGAGCACACAGCTGGTTGGGGAGGCTGCTGTCTCCATGCTGCTCTCAAAACACTTGACAAGGAGAAATCCTGGATTTCTCTTTGCTTGCAGCCAAAACACAACAAAACATCTTAATAACATGAAGGCTTTTCCAAACTGCAGCACTGTTGCAATCTGCCCCTAGATGTAGCAAAGCATCTCGTTGTTACTAGCAGCAATGTATACCTTATTCCAATTGCATATACTCTTACTAGCTTGCCAGGAAACACAGAGTTCAAGACAGCTTAAGTTCTTTGATGGTCAGTTAATTACACGTCACTTATAAATCAACAAACTGCTTCAACCTTGATTTGGTTTAAATTGTGTTAGCTGAGCCTGTTTCTCCTTGAGAAGGAATCCCATTCTGTGTGTCACTCTTAAAGCACAAAATGGTCAAAGAGCTGGATTCTCATGCTGCCTGCTCAGCTTTCTCCATCTCCTTTGACACAACTTAAAAGTACCAGAGAACCAACCTCTTCTCAGTGGTTATTTAGTCAGAAAGATGGAAAGAAAAAGTTCTTTCCTAGAGAAGCATCTGTGGTCAAGGCCGCAAATGCTGTCCTGCTTCCCTCAAGTCTATAGTGTTTGCTACAGGCTCCAGCAAATGCAGGGTCCCACCTCCTGAGCAATACAAAATACCTGTTTTGAGGGGTTCATTTCTTTTTCCCATTTCTTCCTGTACATCCCATACTGCAGTGATCTACAGAGAAAGCTCTCTGTAGATAAAACACACCAGCTTTTCCTCTACTTAAAAATAAATCACTGCTGTGTTGTGGGTAGAAACCACTCGTGGTGTTATTCAAACAGTGCATCTGTTTTATCGGGATAAAAAGACACTTTGAAAAGTACCTTTGGTCCTGAAATGACAATTTTATGCATTTAAAGAGGGAGACTCTAACCCTGTATTCCATGTAAAGCAAGATATATTTTTTTGAATTAACTTCATGAACGTTATGTTCTGAAAGAACATGAATGAACATTATTTCCAGCTCATGTGCTCAAGCAAACCTGCCCAAGAAAGCTTTTGGAGCATGTATGAGCTTGTACCGTCAGCAGAACCTAGTCATAACACTCCTAGTTATGAACATGATTCAGGATCCTATACATTAAGGCCCGAGAAGAGATTACTTTCCTCTGTGCAGAGCCTCTTTGCTAAGCTAAATTAAGCAAAATAATAATAGCAGAGACAAACCATGTATTAGAAGTAGTTCAAAAACAGCAGGGAGGATGGAGAGGAATAAAGAGTAATACAGTATCTATTAACTAACGGAATGCTCATGGAAATGGGGATAAGATGCACATGCATGCCAAATGAACTCTTATCTACTCCACCATAAGCAAATATACCAAAATGAATTCACAAGGGCAAGCATCTTCAAGTAAAGGATAACACTCTAAGTATCCAGCCATTAGGTTCCTCTAAAACGTGTTTTAATTGCGGCAATCAAAATGAATTCATTTTGCAATCACACAAATGTGTTAGAGGCTTCCACTTACACTTCAGTCTTAGTCAAGTACTACTGAAGAGTTATTTAACACTGAATGTTATCACACAATTAGCATACATAAAATATTTTAACTGTATATTAAAAGGATCTCTAAAATGAATTCCTTTCTTATACGCTGTTTGAGTGATTCCTTAGACAATTTTCAGCAACAACTAATACTTTTGTTTTTACTACTTATAAGTCAGACTTGTTGAGAAAGCAAATTCAGCCTAGCTAGAACAGAGCTACACAACAACACAAGAAACATGCAGTGAATCTGCCTGCAGCCACTGGCACAACCTCTTTCTGATGCAACCACGTTGTTTGACATGCCAGCCTCTGCAGCACGGAAGGCAAGAGAGGACCCGCAAACGCTCCATGTTAAAGCAACTGTTCCAGAAATATTATAAGGACAAATTTTTCAATCCTCCTCCAGTGCTCCCAATGACTGTGAAATGATGACACACAGAAACACACAAGGATCCAGGCCAAACCAACTTTGCACAATCCCTATCAATCAAACACACCCTGTTCAGAGGGGTGTTTCTAGACACACCTATTTACCAAAACCCTCCTGCTTTAAAGAGCATCAAATCTGAGAGAAGAATGCATGGACCTGTGACATTACACCATAACTTGCAAAATAGCAACATTTCCTAGAGAAGATATTTTCCTCTTTATTTTCATACATTTACCTCTTCCTGAGCTTTAATGAAGGAGGGTTAGAAAATGCATTCACTGAGTGGCCTAATGGCAATACCTGCCAACTAGTTGAGATCATTCTACAGCTCATTAAAAAGCCATATTTGATTTATTTCCAATCTCTTCCCACCTGGTGTGTTCAGCAGCCGGGACATCTTGCAAGAGTAGGAGATAAACTGCTCGCAGTACTCAGCACTATTGGTGATGGCGGAAATCTGGTCCATAGTCGCACTGTAGTTGAGCTGCAGTACAGATAATTTCTCCAAGCTGTTGCCTCCCACAGAAGTCTGCATTGGCAGGTCATGATACACAGTTGTCCAAACTTTATCCTCTAAAAGGAACGGCGGAAAAAAAAGACAAGACAATAATAAGTGGAAGGCACTGAAAACAAATTAAAATAAATTTTGACCTATCATAAATGGTGAAAACAATCTGCAACAGAACTTGTGAGAGAGAGGGGAGGAAGAAGGGCAAGGGCTTGCATGAATACAGTCATCGGAGGACAACCTTTACTAAAAATAGTTCCAACAATTTGCCACAAACTGCTGAAGAGAAGAGTCTAGTTGCCTTCGTGGTGTTGAGAACCAAAATGCTGTTTGCTTTATAAAGCACATTATTTCATTGCTTCCTTAAATGACCAACAGTAACAATAACTTGTGGAACTAACAAGGATTAGTTTGGATCAGAAAACAATTTAAAGGACAACAAGGCAGGTGCTATAAAGACTTAAGGACTCCATTTAGGAAAACCCAGTGTGTAGGAAGCTGCTGGGATCTGGAGGGCAGCAGTGCTTTGTGATACTGCAATATTAGAGTCACACCAAATTCTAATATGTTTCTATTATTTGCTGTTTAGCACTAAACTACTGTATTTTACTAATATACACAACAGTAAAGATTTTTTACATTTTTACTGAGCCAAGCTCTGTGCCCTGGGAAAGCAAAAGCACCGATCATTGCAACTGATAGAATTCAATTTACAATAGAAGGGCTATACGACCCAAGTTGATGGCCAACTTCTGGTTGTATAGTATGGATCTTAAGGCATGGCTTGATAGGAGGCAATGGAAATATAAAAGCTTCAGTATAGGTGTGAAAAAGAGATAATGAGCCAGAAAGCTGATCCAGTTTCTAGTAATGAGAAATAAAGCAGCATAGGCTGAATCTCACTCCTTCCCACCGCTTATTGCAAAGCAGCATAAACATCCACCATAAAAGAGAGACTGTATTTGTTATACTGCTTTAAACTACTAAATAGCACGTCCCTAGACAAGGCCTTACTATGATGCCTTTGTTGGTAGTTACCAGAAGAGATTTACAGTGAGAGACCGTAATAATGAATCAACGCACCCCTCTGGCTGGAAGATTTGTGGAAGCTGGAATTCAGTTTAGACAGGAAATAAAGAAAAAGAACACAGAAATTTTTCCGTGCAAGACCATTCATTATCTTTCTTCAAATGGACATTTCACAGAACTAAAATGTAAGTATTTAAGACCGATATGGGCTTTTAGAATCAAACTATGCAGATTCAGTCATAGTTAATGTTGCCTTCCTCTGTGAACACTATTCTATGGCTTGGGTATAATGAATGTATTGTTTAACTCAAGCTGATCAGTTAATAGTGTAAAAACACTATCCCAGTTGATACTGGCTAGTTCATAGGGTCCATCTCAAACAGCCAAAGAGCTCAAACTCCTCCATGAGAGTAAACAAAAACCAAGAATATTCTCTTCTATTGTACAGACCATGTCCCTGAGCACATTTAGCTTAGAGCTTCCTAGAAACATATAACATACTGTCAGTACTATTTATTGTGTATAATCCTCCACACTTTTAAAGGTAATTTTTAGTTATTTAAATCTCTTTCTGCTGTTTTATACACCTCTCCTACTGAAAAGCCAGGCTTTTACTTGATCTGCTCTTTGAGGCAGAGCCATGGGGATCTGTAAGCGCCTGCGGTGGGCTCTCGCCCTGGCCGGCGCAGGGCCTCCCTCTCCGGCCTCGGGAAGGCCGCGCTGCTGACCACCCTTGTCCTTTCGGAGGCGCACAGAGGGAAGCTTGTCAGGCTGCTCCCTCGGCCGCATCCGTCACAAGCGCAGGCTCCGTTCTCCAGGGAGATCAGCTGGCACTTCCAAAGAATACTAATTCACCTGACAGATGTGCCTTGCAGCAGCGAGAGGCCTACGAGGGGTGCAGAGCACCGTGTCCTCAGCTCATCTATGTAAATCTCATCCCTCTTAACAGGAGTCTCTGCCTAATCCCAAAACTTACAGCCAAATCCCACACTTCGGTATGCTAACTCTACAAAAACATTACAACCAACCAGGCATACTCAAAAGTGCCTTGATTTTCATCAAAATATTCACAGAAATAATTTTACACGCATGAAAGTTTTGGGGCTGTTCCACAGTAAAGTTATCTTTCCCTGTCATGATTATTCTTACAGTCAGGACTCTGTGCTCTTAATTTCTTTCCAGCCTTAATTTTCACCACATCGTGTCAGTCTGTTTTCAATTACATGGAGTCATGTGGGCCCATGTGTTTGTAACTGATACGGTGCAAGTCCCGCTAATCAAATGCTCAGAGATAAGGTAAGCAAAGCAGACGCGTCCTCCACAGGGAGCGCCCAGCGCTAGCCAAACAAGATGAAATTCAGCAGGTGGTGCAAGATGGTTATTATTTTAATATTCATAACTTTTGTCCAAAGCTCCATATGAAAC